AAAATACAAATTACTCTTAAGTTTATAAGCCTATGTCTTTTTTGAATTATAATAACTTATCTCAGTCATTTCTTGCTATTATGCAAAGGAATATGATTTGGAAAATAATCAGAAATCCGCAAAGTGATAACATTATTATTTCAATTTTAATATCTATCACATTGTTTATTGTTATTAAACTTATCAACGGCAATTAAAGAATCATCTATATTATACACTTACCAATGTAAATATCTCCCATTTTTTAGGCAAATTCAGTCATTAAAGAATCACAATTTATAAAGAACACGAATACCACATATATGGCATTGAAGAAACCTGAAAATATCATTCCAATTTTTTGAAATTTACTAAGTAATCTATAATTTCCATAAGTTTTCCTCATATGAAGAATTTAATCAATTTAAGGTATCTGAGAGACAATGTAAAAAATGCCTGTTGCAATACAATAACTGACTTAAGTCGGGATGTTAATGAAATCTTGAGTGATAGCATAATATATATAAGCAAATAGCATGAAGTTTTAGTGCAGAAAATCTAGAATGATAAAGACAATAATCAGAATGGGATTAGCTGTTCCAATTTCTCTGCATTTCAAAATAATTTGGTTCGTTAATGGGATTATTGCTGGTGGTTACCTGACAACTTGCGGCGGCCTTTGATGTTCAATTTAGGCAGGAACATTAGGAATCAAAGAATCAAATACATTATCCTACGCTAGAAGCGAAAACTCTTGTCTTTCTTCGATTTAGCATTCATGATTTGTTCCAATATCTATAGACTTCTAACATTTTACGCAGTAAGATTTGCAATCCTGACAAATGCCACATTGCAGTTCATGCTCGATAATTTTATCATATTCAAAGACCTAATCACATCCCATTCCGCTGTTTTTGCATTTTATCTTGAATTTAGATATTATTTGGCAGAGATTTCTTGACATTTCAGAGAATTAAGGATTAAGTTCAAAACATGCAGGGCACACATCCCTTTCCATTAGTTTGCTGCTAATACAGATCGTGCAAAAATTGTACTTGCAATTATTACATGATTTTGGCATTCTAATAAGTCCTTCACACAATTGACATTTGAATAATTCAAATAACTGCTCGTACTCTTCATAATTTACTATTCTATCGATAGTGAAAAATGTTCCTGTTCTCTTGTGAGTCAAACACCATTACCGCTGCTTGATATCACATAAATGCTTATTAATATCAATTTCTTTTTCAGCGCTTTCACCAAGTTCATTATTCGTACTAAATCTAGAAGGAGCTGATTCTTTACAGAATTTACATTTGTCTAGCTTTAGTCCTACTATCGAGTTATAGGTGTTGCCATAGCCACAGTTATATTCATGAGCAGGAAGTAGTTTAATTCCAAGTGTCTCATTACACCCTCAGTCTTAATATTTGCAATTGAATTTTATAGACTTGATCATAGTCATAAGTATGGGAGATATATTTTCATATTTAGCTCTCTAATGATAGCAAAAAGGGCATCTATCTTTGTTACTTTTCCATTTGGTTAAGCAATCTTCACAAAATAGCTAATTATGACAGTTTGAACATTCCTTCGGATTTCTCTCCTCAGTCACTACCTAAAGACATATTCCACAGTTGATGTAATCTCTCATATCTTTTATTTCCTCGAGGTTATTAATTCTGGCATCTGAAATTAGATATTTATTGGCCATTTTTACGTTTTCTATTATTTGTATATTAATTGTCTAAATTTATAATTATTATTACATTTGATTTTATATATTGTTTTCTAAATCATTTGATAATTATAATTTTGATATTTTCAATTATTATTGAATACTAAAGCATGGGGTTTTGGGGTTTTGGGGTTTTGGGG